TTAAGGTTATAGAGAAGCGAGGATGGTGGGGTTGAGGACTTAACTGAAGGGAGGGAGAGGAGATACAAGCTATCCCTTGACGGTGCTCATTATGTCCTTTGCCAGCGTGATGTGAGCGCTGATGACAGATGTGATTTTTACATTTAATTAACATTAGGCAGTCTGATACGGAGTCCTGGGCTACCTAAATCACATGCTGGGGATGCAACTTGCCCACGGCACCAAAGTGAAGATACCTCTGGATGTGCATTGTTTCAAGCAGAAACTCTGCACATACAGACTCCAACCACCATGACCACTTCTAAAGTCAGAAGAGGAACCCTTTCAAGTTACACGAGTCCTACAAATATAGATCCTCTATAAAGAGGTGGAAAGAACCGTAACCTAGATCTCGGATCCCATCTTTAACACATGGGATTCCACTTACTGTCCCTGCACGGTGAAGGGAGGTGTCTCCATATGTGAAGACGTTCACTTTCTCGGGCCAGGTGCTTGATGTGATCCAGGTGGTTATTCCTTCCTGATAGAGGAAGCTGTGCCCACGTACTTTATAAATTATGTCTGTCTGAAATGACTTTGTAGTTGTTCCAATCATGTAATTCACTCGGGCCGTAGCAGGTTCTGAACCTGTACTGCAACTTTCCAAAATGAAAACAACCAAGTGATCAGGGCGGAGAATTTGCATAATACATTCTACAACTCGTGGCTGGGGCTGTGCAATGGAGGAAGACTCCACCACGATGATGCTTAACATGCTTTGTGTGTCACGGGAATTTCATCAGAGACATTTGGAATATCCGTTTGTGTTTTATTTGGGTAATTTTGGGAGATATTAACATCACCTACTGACACCTTTATACGCCAATTCTTTACAAATCCAATGATACTAATGGCTCATTTTATTGATTTCATACACATTAAGTTTTGCGGACTTGTGTTTCTGGTGTCTTATTACATCTTTTTGAATTTATTATTATTATTGTTATTTATGCTATTTTACGACAGGCAGTCAGACTATCCTGCTAAACAGCAGAACATTGTTATTAGAAGAAGCACATAGCTGGCCCTATTCTCACTATTTTTAATGTTATTTAATTTCGTTTTAAATAAAGATATTGGGGACACAGGACGTTTCCCATCTTATTATCTTATTGAATTAACCGGCCAAAGGGAGGCTGACATGGCTGGAGCAGGAAGAATGGGAAGGGTTCATGTATTGATCAGATACATTATTTTCCAAGCTCACTGTACGATTATTGCGTATCCAGTTTGTCTTGGGATTCTCAGAGTTTATTAAACGTGGCACCTTCCACCTGTGAATGGAATAAACACAATGAACTCTCCATGAAATATGCTGACCAGCTTCATTCAGGTAAAATGTTGCAACTGTGAAAATACTGATTTCACTGCAAATTCTCAGCATTTTGTTTTCTGTGGCTGTGACGCAGATCACAAAGGGTTAAATAATTCCAAGTTTTATAACATTTGATTGATTGTCCCCCAGGAAACAATACTGGCTTGGTAGGAACTGAACTTCTTTTACACACAGATTAAGATTTAACATACGTTAAACCCCCATCCAACCCTACACCTACAGGACATTGTGACTTTAATGCAGGTTACAAACTGACTGTACTGAGTAACGAGGAGAACTGGTACAATGCATTTTCTAAAAATAAATTAATTAAATATTAACAAGAGGCTTCGTTCCAACATATAAAAAGGTCCAATTATCCAGATTAACAAGCCGTTAACACGTAGTTAAAGGGGAACTGTCAGCGATTTAACACAACGTGATAGCTACCAAACAATTGTTGTTATATTGTAATAACAGATGTTTATTGTATGATGTGATACAAATTATTTTAACCCCTGTGGCGTTGCATGCGGTGCAGTTGGGGCAAGGAGGTGGGAATCCCCAGGCATGCTGGCATTTTATGACATTGTCTAATCAGATGCCCCAGTGTTTATGAACCCTAGGGCCACGCTGGGGTGATAATTACACCTGGATATGGGCGTACCGCTGAGATAAGTGAAGGATTCCCAATAGTCCCTATTGTGGCGGGACAGTCATTGTCTTGGGTTTGTTCCCTGCGTGTCATTTTTGGTAGACCTGGGAATTGTCCCCAAAAAGTGTAGTGTGAATGCATCATAAGACCACTCGCACTACGCTAAGGGCACTAGGACCATGCAGAGAGTGTTGAAACAGTGCCTTCTCTGCCAGCTTGGCATGCAGTCATACCAGGATACCCTGCCAGTTCTTTGGGCAGACCCACTAACAATCCAGGGAGAACAACCACTGATGAAATTTGCATCACTGACTTGTCCCTTTTAGAGGCCCACCGTTGTTTTCAGTAGAACTGTATATCGCCATGAGAGAGCCACGTTAAATGCTATAGTGACTTTTACCTAAAATGTAGAATTCTTTTTAGTTTTCTGTAATTCCAGTTTTTTGTTTTTTTTTATTCTTTATTTTTGTTGTGCACTTAGGAACAAACAAGCCTGCAGTGCCACAATAGCAGGTATAAGCATAGTCAAACGTAGACAAACATAAACGTGACAGTTGAAATAACAGCACATTGTTACAATATTTAGGAGTCAATATTTGCGAACATAAGTGGAGTGCAGTGTAAAAGCATAGACTATCTCATAATAGGTGCAACTTAAAGTATATTCAGCGAGGTATCTTAAGAAGGTGTCAGCTATGCAATGCATTCCTAAGACAGTAGCGTGTTTTGCCTATATGCCTAAAACACTGTTACTAGAATACCACTGGGTTTAGACTATTGATTACATTAAACAGAAATATGACAGCTCAGCTCTGTAAACTATCTATAGAACATATCATAAGTGTTAAATGCCATTGCTCTTTTTGATCACTCAACCCTACAGGCCGGCCATATCAGAGAGTCCACTATTCTGCCTGTGCTATGCTCTCCTCTCCCTGTAAGCAGACCATGTGGGCTTTGCATGCCGTCCATCCATTGAGTGTAACATAAGCTGCAGAGCCTCGGTCCCAGACCTTGATTGGAGTCTGCGCCTGGCGTCCGCGGGTCCCCTCCTTGGTAGTGGTATGCTTAGGAGCCCTCAGGGTCCCCAGATTCAGAGCTTCACCCCGTGAATACAGATGGTGGTTTGGTGGTAGCTTCGGGTAGGCTTGTGTGTGTGCAGCTGCTTCTCTGATCGGCTGTGCAGCAGGATAGGCAAGCGAACTGGATCGGCAAGCGAGTTGATGCCAGAATTTCTGGCAGATTGCGTCGAATTTCGCATTAAATATGTCCCTCCAGTTCTGGCTCAACGTATTCTCTCGGCAGTTCAGAGTTTGCACCGTGGTGGCCAGTGGGGACCAGGATAACCCCTGCCAGTCCAAAGAGGGGGGTGACGGGGCTGCGAGGTGCGCACGCGGTGGCGGCGGTGGCGGGAGATCGTCCACTTCCCCCTCCACTGGCTAGGCCACCCTGTCAGGCCTCAATTTAAGAACAGGTTGCTGCTTGGCAGGACATCCTGGTCCAGATATAGCAAGCAGTAATGTGTAGGTATCGTGCTCATATAGCTCAGGTTTAACAGCTAAAATTGTCGAACTTTAGCTCGGTTTCAGGAGAGTTCCAGAGGAACACGTCCTGCCATGCTGGACATCAGGACCCGCTCTGTAATTCCTGGTTTAATGAAAAATACACCATTGTATTGCTCTAAATACATTAAATGATGAAACAATTTTCCCAACCAGAGCATTTATTTTTCTAGAAAAACTATTCTGAAACATTTAAAATAGGAATATGGGTCCTATGGTATACATTAACCATTCGATTACTTATTGGGAAATCGTGTCACTGCAGATCATTTCATAGTGTCTTAGAAGCAGTCCTTTCACCTTACCAAAAAGCGATAATGTATTATCTAATTTAACGAGGGATTTTTAGTTCTGAACAAATTTCTAGATTTTTGTTGCAGATCTGCTCGTTACTACCGTTCCCCCCCCCCCCCAAAATAAGACAGAGTGTTATATAAATTCTTTGCTCAAAAAAAATGCATTAGGACTTATTTTTGGGGGGAAACGATAGTAAGCATGTTCAAGAAAGCAGGTCTATATTCGGGGGAATTTCCCCGAATATAGACCAGTTCACGCATGGAATCCCACGAATATGTGTTCGAGGAAAATTCCCTGAACATCTATTAGCAAACTAGCGATGATCTCAACTAGGGCTTATGTTATGAGCATCCCCTAATAATAGGCTAGGGCTTATTTTCGGGGGATGTCTTATCTTCAGGGTAAAATATAGGATCCACATTATAAGCCCCTCAGCACTGACAGTGTACTGGCGAAACCATTAAGAACATTCCAAAAGCTCTCAAACTTTGCTACTCTTCCAAGTTTGTGGTGAATTCACTGTTTTAGTAAGGAAGTCCTTCTAAAATGCAGTGTTTTTTACACGTGTCCCTCTCTTGGGTCGGCATCAAAATAAAATAAGAAGTCAATGTCCTCCAAAATGATAACGGCGGCAGCATGAAGCACGCAGGGAACCGGGTCCAGGGCGCGCTGTGCATTATAAATGGGGAATGTCTGAGGAAATCAATACATGGAATAGGAAGCTTTTATCAGATGTAGTAATGCTTTAGGGACAGATCGCTATCCTTTTAGCAGTTATGCATTTTTTATTGTTGAATAATAAAAACAATTATTATTCCCCCCCCCCCCTATTTTTAATCTTTTCTTATTAGGTTTGCAGCACAATCCAAAGGATTCTGGATCTCAGCGAAGTGTCCGACATAGGATTCGATAACTGATGGTGAATTAGTCATTGTGGAACGCGCTCCTTGTGATGGGTGACTGGCACACTGAGGATCATTAGTTACAGATTCCAGTTCGCCATCTAATGGGACAATTTCTCCCACTCTGTCTGGACTCTGGTTATCAGAAAACGTTGGCAGTGTCAGATTGTTTGGGATAACGATGTGGGGAGTGCAATACATGGAAAACATCATGGCGGTCATCGCCCAGCGAGAGATCGATCTGACATTAACTGAGGTTCATTGGTTCTCAGTTTGGAAAAGAGATGGAAAAATCTCACAAAATGTCTGTAGCGGAACCCCCCAATCAGATTACCCTGTAATGTGTTTTCCCGATCCAGACCCTGTGTTTCATTTGTTGTACTTGTAAAGCTACCTGCTCTCCATTCGGGAGAGCTCCCACGAACGGGTTCTGTTCCTCTCCCAAACGGGGACCACCCCAAGATCCCATTTAGAATGTTTAGTTAGAATGTACACACCTCACTGACGTGTGAAAACCGCAAACCACAAGAGAAGCCTCTGCCCTTGCCAACCCAAGGTGGCGGCCTGTTCGTTATATGAACGCCGTCCAAGGGGAGCATTCGCGGATTGCTTCTCGTCTCGTTCGGTTCCCAAACGAGGAACTCCCCAGTGCCCCTTGGCATGTTCAGATGTTCGCAACATGCAACATAAGTGTGAAACCGCAAGGGAAGTAAGTGAGTGCTTCCACTGGGTGGCCGTCGTTCGTAAGGACGAACGCTCATCAGGGGGAGCATTCATATGCCGAAAGGGGATGCTTCCCTTGCCTGGTCTCACACAGGTGGTTCACGAACCGAGGAGGCTCACACTGGACACCGTTGTGGGGGATCCCCGAGATTGGTAGGGACATTCCTTGGGCACAATGGCGTTTGGCGGGCTTTCTGTAGCTGGGAGTCACAGAGGCGGGAAGCGTTCCCGCGCTGAGACTCCCAGGTATAGAGGAAACCCTGAGGATGGGTGGCGTGAACTAGGGGACAAACGGACAAGAGCTCCTGTCGCACGCACAGGCCCCTGTGAGGGGGAGGACCCTGGCAGGGGACACTGGATGGTGGGAATAGGGGACAAAAGGACTGAGGTTCCGGTTCAGTTATGTGACCCTCGGGAGTATAAAGCCGAGGGTGGCCAATAAAGTGTTGTTGTACCCATGGAACTGTGTGTCGTCCAGTTACTGGGGGAAAATGGGTCTCTTCATTTATTCATAGTGGAGGTAACCAGGGGAAAATGGGTCTCTTCATTTATTCATAGTGGAGGTAACCAGTCGGCTTACCCACGGTCTGCTACAATGTCAAATAAATTGCTCTATAAATGGGCTGAGATTTCCAGATTGGGACAGTGGATACCATGTGCGTACAGGTAGCGTGGTGGCACAGACTGTGGAGGATCCAGAAAAACCCCTTGGTGGTTAAATGTGCAATACTGTGAGATTTTCTCGGTAAATACGGCTGAAAACATGACCTGATCTTGAAGCAGGCCTTTGGGGAGCTGGGGGGTGGGAGTTTATACTGCAGGATTCACACAGGAAGTTGACACAACATACTTTGTGTTTGTTTGAGTTAATGCCCGTTGCTGGCGAGCCCCACTTGGTGCTGTAGGTGCTGTAAACACGGTTTATTCTACACCCAGATAATAGCACACCCCTCCCGCACTGACTCAGGGCAGAGCGTTTTGCAAGGCAAATTTCACAATGACACTCTGTACCAAGCTAGCGTGTTTGGTTCCTTCTTCCTTCCTGTGTAAAACCAGATTTTATCAACTGAAACCTCTATTAGCAGATATATATATAATGATTATTAACTTGTTTATTAATTCAATAATAAACAGAACACATTCTGCACTAAGTATCCAGGGGTAATGTGTTTATTTACCATTGTGATACTCTCATACAGCACATTACTGTGAGTTTTATTGCTGTGGAGCTCTGTGATACATTGATACAGCACGTTCCTGTGAGTTTTATTGCCATGGAGCTCTGTGATACATTGATACAGCACGTTACTGTGAGTTTTATTCATGGGGAGCTCTGTGATACATTGATACAGCACGTTACTGTGAGTTTTATTCATGGGGAGCTCTGTGATACATTGATACAGCACGTTACTGTGAGTTTTATTGCCATGGAGTTCTGTGATACATTGATACAGCACGTTACTGTGAGTTTTATTCATGGGGAGCTCTGTGATACATTGATACAGCACGTTACTGTGAGTTTTATTGCCATGGAGTTCTGTGATACATTGATACAGCACGTTACTGTGAATTTTATTCATGGGGAGCTCTGTGATACATTGATACAGCACGTTCCTGTGAGTTTTATTCATGGGGAGCTCTGTGATACATTGATACAGCACGTTACTGTGAGTTTTATTGCCATGGAGTTCTGTGATACATTGATACAGCACGTTCCTGTGAGTTTTATTGCCATGGAGCTCTGTGATACACACAGTCCATTCTGAAGATTCTAATGTTGATACTTTGTATTGTTGGGATGTTTTATGAAGTTTCTGGGCTGATAACATTCTGCAGGTCTGTCAGCGCAGTGCCGGTTTTGGCCGCTAGATGGCAGCAGCGCACCCTCGGTCTCAGCCTGTTGGAACTCTGTGAGCGTCCAGTCTGATCGCGGCCAATCAAGGTTAATGAGGGGAGTGATACCCGGGCTCCTCCTCTCACTCAGGGCATGGGATCCTCAACTTCATCTTATCTGAGAGACTGTATACTGACAGCCGGGGAGAGAGGGCACACAGCACACTGACAGCCAGCACTGGAGAGAGAGAGAGAGAGAGGGCACCCAGCCTGCTCCCTCACTGGGCACCAAACAGGGCAACCTGGCAACCTGCACCCTGACTGGGCATCACATAGGGCAACCTGGCAACCTGCTCCCTGACTGGGCACCACACAGGACAACCTGCTTTCTGACCAAACAGGGCAACCTGGCAACCTGCACCCTGACTGGGCATCACATAGGGCAACCTGGCAACCTGCTCCCTGACTGGGCACCACACAGGACAACCTGCTTTCTGACTTGGCACCACACAGGGCAACCTGCACAGGGCATCATAATTGAAACATACTTCTTGGGCTGTGCACTGGAGAGAGAGGGCACCCAGTCTGGGCAAGATGCACCCTGTACTTGGCTTTGAAGAGTACACCCAGGCTTTGGACTAGAAAGAACTACACCCTGAGCTTGGCATAGTCTGTGCGTACCCTGGTCCTGGCACTGGTCAGTACACATCCTGCACCTATTCTGTGCTGTATCCCAACCAGTTGTTACATAACTATATATTGTGTGCCCAGCTATGGCAGATACCGTTTCAGGACATTATATAGTGTGAATCACCAGGAAATAACAGCGAGAAATTATTCTGAACTATACTGAGGACACCCAATACCCATCCTTGTCATTATCCACACTGCATTTTATTGGATACTACAGATACATTGTAGCTGGGCACCAAGCACAAACAGTTGGCACCACTGTGAGTCCTCTCGATAATATATTAAAATATTTCCTGAGCTGTGTGAAGGCACTGGGCTGGACTTTACTCCAGAGGTAGCTGGCACTAGACAGTGGCTGGCATCAGATTAATACCAGTGGATTTCACAGAAAGGATAAACACCTAACTTGTTACTTAACTAGCCACCCCTCTCGCTGGTGGCATATACTGAACTGGGTGCAGGTGAGGACACCCACCATTAACCCCGTACTCCTAGCTGTGGGTATGCCATGGACGTTATAGTTGAAATGCCCCTGGACTGCAAAATGGGGGAGCAGGAAGCCCCCCTTATGTTTTGGGTGTCTGAGTCTGCTGGAGAGGTGAGAAAGTCCAATAGAGTTTGATTAATTAGAACCACTGTTTAATCTGATAATAACTATCCACGCTTACCCAGGCTTAATTTAATAGGGGGAGGAAGCATTCTGGGTCCCTAGAGTTGATGTAGAAAGTGGTCGTGGTTTGTTAGGAAACACAATGATCTACACTAGTTAGTGGTTTTTATGTCCCTGATACGAGTGGGCGGGTGCAGTGTGGGATCCTCTCTGTGGGGTCTCCATCCAGCCTGGGATACAGTGAGCAGGTGGGATCCTCTTTGTAGGGTCTCCATCCAGCCTGGGATACAGCGAGTGGGGTTTCCATCGAGTCTGGGGTACAGCGAGCACGTGGGATCCTCTCTGTGGGGTCTCCATCCAGTCTGGGATACAGCGAGCGGGTGGGATCCTCTCTTTGGGGTCTCCAAGTCTGGGATGCAGCGAGTGGGTGGGATCCTCTCTGTGGGGTCTCCATCCAGCCTGGGATACAGCGAACAGGTGGGATCCTTTCTGTGGGGTCTCCAGTCTGGGATACAGAGAGCGTGTGGGATCCTCTCTGTGGGGTCTAGATCCAGTCTGGGGTACAGCTAGCGTGTGGAATCCTCTGTGTGGGGTCTCCAGTCTGGGATACAGCGAATGGGTGGGATCCTCTTTGTGGGGTCTCTATCCAGTCTGGGATACAGCGAGCGGGTGGGGTCCTTTCTGTGGGGTCTCCATCCAGTCTGTTTTACAGACTGGGGTCTCTGTGAGGTCTCCATCCAGTCTGGGATACAGCAAGCCAGTCTGGGGTCTGCATCAAGTCTGGGTTACAGAGAGTGGGTGGGATCCTCTCTGTGGGTTCTCCATCCAGCCTAGGATACAGCTAGCGGGTGGGATCCTCTCTGTGGGTTCTCCATCCAGCCTAGGATACAGCTAGCGGGTGGGATCCTCTCTGTGAGGTCTCTATCCAGTCTGGGTTACAGAGAGTGGGTGGGATCCTCTCTGTGGGTTCTCCATCCAGCCTAGGATACAGCTAGCGGGTGGGATCCTCTCTGTAGGGTCTCCATCCAGTCTGGGATACAGCGAGTGGGTGGGATCCTCTATGTAGGATCTCCATCCAGTCTGGGATACAGCGAGCGGGTGGGATCCTCTCTGTAGGGTCTCCATCCAGTCTGGGATACAGCGAGCGGGTGGGATCCTCTCTGTAGGGTCTCCATCCAGTCTGGGATACAGCGTGCGGGTGGGATCCTCTCTGTAGGGTCTCCATCCAGTCTGGGATACAGCGTGCAGGTGGGATCCTCTCTGTAGGGTCTCCATCCAGTCTGGGTCACATCGGGCGGGTGGGATCCTCTCTGTAGGGTCTCCATCCAGTCTGGGATACAGTGAGTGGGTGGGATCCTCTCTGTAGGGTCTCCATCCAGTCTGGGATACAGCGTGCGGGTGGGATCCTCTCTGTAGGGTCTCCATCCAGTCTGGGATACAGTGAGTGGGTGGGATCCTCTCTGTAGGGTCTCCATCCAGTCTGGGATACAGCGAGTGGGTGGGATCCTCTCTGTAGGGTCTCCATCCAGTCTGGGATACAGCGAGCGGGTGGAATCCTCTCTGTGGGGTCTCCATCCAGCCAGGGATACAGCAAACTCTGATTAGTGTTTTCATAACAAGGTACAGAAATAGCTCCGGGCTGTGTCTGGTAAATGGCAGAGATTGGGCATCACCCATGTAAACACAGATAACCCTTTCACTCTCCGCTCTGACCTTCAGCTTCCATCTCATCCACAGCAAAGCAGGGAAGGGGTTAATTCCGACCTGCCCGGTTGAGTTGGAACCAAGTAAACTTATTGCAGAAAAACATTCTTAGATTTTTAGAAATTAATCCTGGCGTTGGACAGAGTGCAGCATTCAGCCAGGTAAGGGTTAACTATAAAGGCAATTCTGGAGCAATCAGCATGCACAGTGCAAAAGTTTCCATGGCAACTGCCCTACTTTTAGAACTTTGTCCCAAATTTGCTGGTTTACATAACCTCCAAGGAGTTCAGAAAACTAGAAAATAACAAATTTTACCTCTAGGGGAGAATAAACTCAGTGTTTGATCTTATAAAAAGGATGTATTTTCTCGTCTGCATTTCAGTTTAAAACTCATCTCCTTTTTCCATGTTCTAGACAGGCTCCAAGTCGCACACAGTAGCAGGTGCGCAGTATGTTACTGTGAGAATTCCAGCCTGGGATTTCCATTCACAGATCAGCCATCATTTTTATTTATCACATGCTGTCAGACTAACATAAACTTCCCGGCCTGTCTGTCATAATTAACGTTAATTTAGGAACTGGCCGGACATATCTGTCATACTTGGTGGAATAAAAATTAACTCCTATCCCGACAAATCTATTTGTAAACCCCAACATATTGTGCAGCGCAGTACTAGGGGGCACAACGAGTACAATTTAATGCTAAGAACCAATTTAAAGATAATCTGGCCAAGCATGGTGAGTGTAGTAATCCAAAATCTGAAATGTAATGTTTCTGGAAGGTAAGAGCTATCGAGGTGTGTTGCTAGCAGGTAATAAATCCTATTTCTACAAATTATCTATATCTCTATAAATTATTATGATGGCTATGGTCACTGTAGGGTCAGAAGGTGGAGGAGAGTGGTACCTACCCAATGGGAGTGCAATTGAACATGGCAGACAGCAAGTGCGAGGAATTGAAGGGTTCACTCATATTCCTCCTATAGACGTGTGTTTTTAGGGATTTAAGGACTGGAGAGTGTGGAAGGTCTTGTGGGAACAGGTATGTTAGAATGAGGCGACTGTTGTGAAGATGTAAGTAGGCACCCAACAAGAATTGGCGGTAGTTTAAAGTTTTGATTGTGAGAACTGGGATTTTATTTTATTAATCCACTGTTTTATTTTATAATGCAACACATTTAATAATATTCAATTGTACAATCTCAGATACTTCCTAGGTAGATGATAGTTACGTGTATAATACGTTAATAGTGAATATTAATTAAAGGGAATCTGTCACTTCCCTTCATTTAAAGGGACACTATTGTCACCCAGACCACTTCAGCTCAATGAAGTGGTTTGGGTGCCAGATCCCTCAGGTTTTAACTCTTCAGATGTAAACATAGCAGGTTCAGAGAAACTGCTATGTTTGCATTTGGGGTTAAGCCAGCCTGTCTTCCGGACAGCCACTAGTGGTGCATCTGCGACGCTGGAGGCATATTATGCCTCGATCGCGCAGAGCGTCCATAGGAAATCATTGCGAAATGCTTTCCTATGGACACTTTGAATGCGCACGTGGCACTTGCCGCGCATGCGCATTTGACTCCGCTGATGTCGGAAGGGGGAGAAGAGGTCACCAGTGCCGAGGGAGCCCGGCGATGGATTAAGGTATGCTGCTGAAGGGGTTTTAACCCTGAGGGTGGGGGCACCCTCAGGGCACTATTGTGCCAGGAAAACCGCTTAGTTTTCCTGACACTATAGTGATCCTTTAATATTATGTTTTCTTATCCCCTATAGTCATATTTCATGTGTTTTCAAATCTGTAATCTTTACATTTGAATGTAGCAATCCAAATCGGTGTATTTACCTCTGTCCTGTAACTCTACACCTTCATCTTTGCTCTGTCAATCCCTTTTGTTATAAATGTTGCCATTTTCTGCCATTGAACACAGTAAATGGAAATGGATACACAGAAAAAATTATGTTTCTGTTCTCCTCCTCATTTGCATGATGTGCCCTGGCTGTGCCTGGACTGGGCTGGATGGTCACGTATTTCAAGTTGTTCGAGCATAACATGATAAAATGTTTCTAGAGAAGAGAAGGATCCTCTTTAAAGGATTATTCTAAGCACCAGAATTACTATAGCCCGCTGTGTTCATTATGATGGTAGGCGTGTCCTGAAACGTTTCCCTGGTGAAGGGTCAAACCATTTTGGAATGGACATCCCTGGTGGCATGTGTCCGGTGTCTGCAGAGCGGCAGAAGCCGGATACCGATCCCATCGCCCATTCATTGGTCGAGTCTATGAGCTGACCACTGTCAGCCAATGAATGACATTCTGTAATTAGAAATATGCCCAAAATTGATGGTTGTGAAGGGATTGACAAACACGTTATACGCAGTGTCACAAGTGGTAGAAAGATTTAGACCAATATGCAGAAAGATATGGCCACCGGATTGCGTTTTGTTATAGTAAGTGTCGCTACAGGTTGGAGCAGCTTTAGTCGTGTTTACAAAACAGAAAACAGATTGAAGAGGAAAGAGTAAAGGCTTGGAACTGGGGGGTGCACCTCAGCCACTCGGGGCGTTTAAAGGTGAAAAGAGGTGCATGTATTCCACATATTTACCAAGAAGCCGGCTACAAAGTCATTATCGGAATAAGAGCTCTCACTCTTAGACACCACATAAAACAGTTGTCATGTATGGTGAACGCTCATAAGTAGGAGTTGGGAGAAAGATTTGTTAAAGATGAAGTGCATGTTTTAAAGAATGTAAAGAAAATACCAGAAAAGAGAGACATTGAAGGTGGAACAGCAGTCAATGAGAGGCTGAGCAACATGTGAGGTTAGGTTATGGATGACTGGGTACATCAATATGGAAAGAGAGCAGGCGACGCATCCTCGTATTCATTGAATGGGTCGAAAACAAGAACCAGTGGTGGATGAGAGAGGGGGATTTCTTCTTGTTGACTACAGGGTGATGTGGAGAGTAGAAGATACTGCATAGGAGTTTGGGTTTGTGAGAAAAGGCTCTGTTGAGAGAAGCAAAGCTCGAAAAAATAATGTTTTACTCCACCATACGTCCTTTGACATACATACCAAGGTAACCATATGAGAATCATGGGTGATCCGTACAATAAGAAGAAAGCCATATCTGATAAATAAATGCAATTCACTCAAGTTACAAACAGTGACGTTTCAGAGGGCTTAGCAGTTTGCCAGGTTTAAATGATAGGTAGGAGGTTAGGAGGTTTTATTAAATAGCATCCCATTCCTTGTTTTCTGTTTTGACCTGATGTAGTAGCTGAACTCTTGTTGGCCCCCAGCTTCTGAGGATGCCAGTCCTGCATTTTGGCAGATAGGGAGTAATAACAGGGGGTATTAATGAATAGAAAATAAAGGAAGCCACATGTTTAATCATGGATTCTAGGACTTAATACATCTGAGAATGGGGGACACATGATAAATCAGGGGATGAATATTCGTTGAGACAGTAAAAGCTTTACTATGGTAAAGGAGAGATGGCCTAACGCGTTTAAGCTGTCCCACAGCAGAACAATGACAGCGACAATTTCTTACAAATCGTTTGTCACATTGTCCTCTCTGGGAAACTAGAAATAAACGAGCCCTTATTTACAATTAAAATAAACACTTTCTGTTACTGGCTATTCCGCTACAAAATATTATTTTAATCGTAAAAATTCCAAGATGAAAATGGTTTCTTTCTTCCTCTTTTATTTTTTATTTTCACTAAACGATCCGGATATTTTAACTCCTTACGGACCAGTTGCATTTTTATTGATGACACAACCCGGTCCCTAAAGACATGATTTGAGCATGATACAAAATATCTCAATATATTATTTTAAGTG